TTATAAATATTGAAAAACAACCTACTGAAGTCACAAGCAGTCAGTTCAGACACTTTCAAACTTACATCTTTGTTCTTGGTAACGACATTGCTAAATAATGACTTATTGATGACACGATGGGCTCAGTTAAAGTGGTCTGAGGCATATTATTCCCCATATCTTAATATCTTCTCAGTTTAAAATTTAGGAGAGGAAGATAGCAGTAAATGATATAAATTCCCTTCCAAATAGCGAAGACATAGACTACCAATCCTGTTTTCTCCCTTTTAACTTATAATTCAAGTGTTAGCTAGGCATTTTGTAATAAATTTTTAGAAAGAAAGGAAAATTAGAATTTAATTTTTGTGCCACAACTTGTTTATTAGCAAATTTTTTTATCTACTGGCCTTCCAAAAGGACTGTACAGATAGTAACTTAACCAGAACTACACTTAGTGGAATCATTGGTTTTAACATGTTGTATGTAAGTTTTTAAATCTATGAAATGCTATAGGGTAGTAAAACTTACTTTAAAAAAAAAACAACTTCAGAGCAAATTACTGGTAGCTGGATATTGTATTATATCCATACTAAGGTGATCTTACACATGTTTAAATTAGAAAAATACATATAATATAATGAAATTTTTTGCAAATAAATGAAAAATTTGAGGGATGTGGATATATTACCTTTAACTTCTAAAATTTGTATCTTAGATGGACCAGTCTTATAAACCAGATGAAGATGAAGTTCGAACACTCTTTGGTCTCCGTTTAAGCCAGAAGAGAAACAATGGTGTCATCAATAAGTCATTATTTAGCAATGTCGTTACCAAGAACAAAGATGTAAGTTTGAAAGTGTCTGAACTGACTGCTTGTGACTTCAGTAGGTTGTTTTCAATATTTATAAGTTTTACATTTATTAAGGGCCCATATTAACTGGTTGATACACACACAGCTAGTGCATCTTTGAGTTGGCAAGTAAGCCCGAGAGCTTAAAAAATGAATAAACGCCATATTAGAAGTCTCTGCACACAGAGACTTCATGTGTCTCCAGTTATACATAAATGGGATTGTCTTCTATAATTCTGTTCTATAATTTGCCTTTTTTCCATGTACTAGGCTACAGACATGCTTCTGTATCAATAACATAGATCCATATTTTTGTCTGAGAGGCCATGTGGTAATCCACATGTAGATATACAATGATGGGTATTGAGGTTTCTGTTTTCAGTGCTATGGTCAATGTATTTGTGTAGACAAGTTTTTGCACTTGTGCTCTTTGTCATCTTAGAGACATACTCCTAAGGATAGTAATGGTGACTTTTGTATTTGCATATATTATCTTATTTAATACTCAAGGCACACTATGGGGTGACTGTCATCATTTTTACTGTAAAGATCACAAAATTGTGACATAGATGACAGTTAAGAAATTTGCCCAAAGTTACACAATAAAGAAATAGATGAGCTGGTATTTGTTTTCTGAAATTATCTTAATTAGGCCTCATTTTGAAGGAGGCTTTTGCTCTGTTTAAAGTTGGCTGTACTTGTTTTTCAGTACCTTGGAAGTGTCACTCCATTGTTTTCTGGTCTGTTCTGTGGATGTGCCTGGAATTTTTGATTGCTGGGCATTGGGTATGAAAAAACTATAGAGATATTTTGAGGGTCTGGATGTTGTTTTTTGTGCGTATAGTTGACTTATACTTCTGATGGACAGCTTTATCCTGTCAAAAATTGAGTTGCTTTGAGTTGTTCTGAATTTGGGCTTCAGTCTGTGAGGACTGGTCTGTTTATGTTTCATGCCTACTCTGCTGAAGTCCTGGATATCTGCTAGTGTCTCTCTTTTTTCTTCCTGTATTCTGAACTCCGGATTTGTCCCCTAGTCCAGCAAGACTGCCAAAAGCTGTGCTTGGCTTATTTACCTCTTAGTTTATTGCATACGATTTAGAAAATGCCTTGAGGGGAAAAACATAGATTGTCAGGCCCATTTCCTTCTGCCTCCTTTATCTCTGGGTTCTTTGCCTGTCAGTGCTTGCTGTCCGTATCAGCTCTGTGTCTAGCTTTACTGTTAGTTCAGGGAAAAGGATTGGCTATTCATTGTAACAAGGAGAAGAAGAGGAGCTGCAGCTTGTTCCCAGGTCTGACTCCTGAGGTTTTAAGTGGCATTGCTGGAAATAAGCTTTCAAATCTTTATCTGGATAGTTAATATATGTTAGTAAGCATATGGTGAGCAACACATCTTTGTTTATTTAATGGATATTTTTTCATTATTATCTTTGAAAATTCATGGTGCACTAAAATAAAGAAACATGTAGGCATTATAAATAGAAATACTTTCAGCCCTTTGGAATCCACTCTGGTTGATTAATGTATTTAGAAAATAACTGAATGGGTATTGACCTAGTTTTTGTGGTACCCATGTTGACAGTTGTTCCTGACTATTGAGAATCTTACTTTTTTCTTAAAGTTCCATGGATATTGGATTGATTACTAATTTAGTGATCTCTGATAGGTTTCATGCCCCTGAATATTTTTTACAAGAGTAGTGGGTGGATATGATTTTAATCTTTTGTCTAAATTTTTCTTTCCTTGTTTCATCTGCACTCCTAGTAGAAATTCAGAAGCTTAAGGATGAGAATGATAGCTGTATTCTCCTTTATATTCCACTCCCAGCCTTTTAAAACAGATTTTTGTTAACATTCCACCCTCAAAATATTAAATTGTACTATTAGGGCTGGAACTGTTTCAGTCCTGAGAGACCCGGACAGGTAGAAGGAGTGTGTATTAATACCGGGCATATTTGAATTATTTCTTGAATAGTGCTTTAATTTTTTTTCAGTGTAACATGTTTCTAAGACTAGATTCCCTCACTCCCACTTCAGTGACAATTTCCATATTACTTCCTCTTTTAAAATACCTTTAAAGGTTATCTTTAAAAGTCTAGACATGGGAGGCTGGCGTTTGTTATTCACCTTTCTCGGAACCAAAGGAATCTTTATATATAGTTAGTGACTCAAGCAACAGAGATAAGAAAGGATATATTACATTAATAACACCTTAAAATAATTAATTCTTTAGAAATCCTAATGGTGTTTTTTAATTTTGAGACAAATAAAAATTGTAGATTCACATGCAGTTGTAAATGTTCCCTTTACCTGGTTTCCCCTAATGGTAGCATTTTGCAAAGCTATAGTACAGTGCCCCCCTTGGGACGTTGACATTGATAACAGTCTAACAGTCACAAGGTACAGAGCATTTCCATCACCACAGTGGTCCTTTGTGTTGCTTTCCTGTCTCCAGGCTCACTTCCTGCTGCCCCCTCCCTTCCATAACCTTGAGCAACCATTGATGTTTTCCCTTTCTATAATTTTCATTCATTGTACGTTCATTTACAGTTTTTGTGTGAACATAAGTTTTCCTCTCTCTGTAGTGAATACGTGGGAGTATTAATTGCTTGGTGGTACGGTGGTTGCATGTTTAGTTTTTTAAAAAATGGCCAAACTTTTCCCAAATAGCTTGTACCATTTTACATTCCCACCAGCAATGGAGGAGTGATCTAGTTTTTCTGTATTCTAAGACATTCTGATAGGTGTGTAGCAATAGCTCACTGATTTTCATTTAATTTGTGTTTTCCTAACGGCTCTTGATGTTGAACATTTTTCTTGTGCTTATCTGCTATCCATATATCCTTTTGTGTGAAATGTCTCTTCATGTCTTTTGCCCATTTTCTAATTAGATTGATTTTTTTGTTACTGAATTTTGAGTTATTTACATTTTAGGTACTAGTTCTTTGTTGGATATGTGGCTTATCAATATTTCCCATTTCCTAGCTAATCTTTTCATCTTCTTAACAAGGGGTTTTTCTTTTGTAGAGATTTTAATTTTGGTGAAGTCCAATTTATCAATTTTTCAGTTAATTTATCAGTTAGCTAGCTAGAGCTAATATCCTCTGTCCATTTAGTATACCGACATGGATCTTTGTCCTTTTCAATTTGTATTCACTCTTTATATTAAAGATAGTGACATTTTTGGCTATTATATTTGTTGTTCTATTTGAACAATGCCTTTTTGAATACTTTCTACTTAGAATATTGTAAACAAAGTAGAAAATGATCCTAATTTGGTTTTTCTGTGAACAGTATTGGCTATGTGTGCGTGTCACAATGATTTGTAGTGTTTATGAAAATTATTGTCAGCATCAGTTCTGAACATGAATTTTATCATGTCTCCAGATAAAGGACTCTAGTTGAAAATATTTTTTTGTCAGTTTTAGAATGGGTATGGTATTATATTTTGTGTAACATCCACAGGCTTAATCCCAAACTGCTGTAAAATGGCCTTAGTTTGAGTCTGTGACACGTTATGCTAAATTCCACCGCTTAAATAAATAAATATTTGATTTATTTTAATTTGATTTTATTATTAAATATTTGATCTTTTAATAAACAACAGTAGTATGTAACATGAAGAGATAATTGTTCTTCGTTCATTTGAGAGCTATGACTACATTAAGTCTGTTACATTAAGTGGCACTAAGAAGCTTGGGGTCACAAAGTTTAGAAGGCCCAGTGTGATTCCCCCATGTCTGTTGCAGTTGCCGGAGTCTGCCCTCAGGGACCTCATCGTGGCCACCATTGCTGTCAAGTACACTCAGTCGAACTCCGTGTGCTATGCCAAGAACGGGCAGGTAAGCGGGCTGTCACCTCACCTCGGGGGGGACTGTTTTGCAAAATTATATTCAGAAATCCATCTGCCTCCGGTGTTGAGCAGCTTGAAAAGGAAAATTTGCCAAGCTCTTCTCTTCTGGCTTTGTGTTTTCTCTTCTGGCTTTGTGTTTCCTCAGCCTCTTGGTGGACCATTAAAAGCTAATGATAGGCTAGGCGTCGTGGCTCACTCCTGTCAGGAGTTCGAAACCAGGCTGAGCAAGAGCGAGACCCCGTCTCTACTATAAATAGAAAGAAAAGAATTGGCCAACTAATATATATATAGAAAAAATTAGCCGGACATGGTGGCACATGCCTATAGTCCCAGCTACTCGGGAGGCTGAGGCGGGAGGATTGCTTGAGCCCAGGAGTTTGAGGTTGCTGTGAGCTAGGCTGGCGCCACGGCACTCACTCTAGCCTGAGCAACAAAGTGAGACTCTGTCTCAAAAAAAAAAAAAGCTAATGATAGTCACACAGTATCTTTGGAACCAAGGACTAAAACTAGTCATGTTGTTTGTTTCTTGCCTAGAGTGAGTTGGCACAATTTGGATTAGTTGGACTCTGATAGCTGCTACAAAACTGGTTTATTCACTCTCCCCCCTCCTCGCATTGGTATTATTTCCAGTAAAGAGGAAACAAGGAATGATACTGCTATCCTACCAGCCTGTATTTTTGCAGCTTGCAGGGTATTTTCACATATATTCTATATTATATTAAGATTTCATTGGGTAGAAAGACTGCTAGACTGGGAGTTAAACTGATCTTTTAAAATCAGGTTTATTGAGGCATAAATTGTATACAGTAAAATTTAAAGGACCTTTTTAAAGTGTACAGTTTGACTAGTTTTCACAAATTATACAGTGTGTATAATCCACACTGTAATTTCACAAATTATACAGTGTGATCAGGTACTGAACATTTCTCACTATGTGATGTTATGCAAGATACTGAACTTATTTCCTAGTGTACTGAGCCATGGATTATGAGACTGAGCTAGTTCATTAAAAGGTCTCTTTTAACCCTAGGGTGAACTTGGTTTTGTTGTGGCTTCAGCAGCATTGGGAGGCCTTTCTTCTCAGTGTCTTGAGCTTGTCTCTTGACATTTGTTAAGTTTGGCCCACAAGTGGGGGCAATCGGGAGCAGGTGGGTATTAATGATCATGTGACCTAAAAGACTCAGGATTGCCAATACCTGTAGTAACAAAATCTTGGGAGATTGTGGATACTGGTGTCCTTGGGCTCACGTTCTAATAAGTTCCAGTAAGTTCTTGTAGAATGAATGCTTTGTTCTTGAAATCCAGAAGGAGCACCTTGCACAGGTGTCTGTGGTCTTGTTTATTCTTTGCATCTATGAGCAGATTTGCCAGTTGCAGGTTTGGAAAGGGGTGGCCAATGGGGCAGACAGCTGAAGAGATGTTCAGTACGGAAACTGAAGCCGTAAAATACACCTCTGCATTAAAGTCATTGGTGCTTAGAATTCAACCCATAGAAACAGAGGAAGGAAGGAGAATTTTTGTGTTAATGGAATTATTTTTATTTCTTAGGATACCCTTGGTCAGATCCTTATTATATCAATTCTGTGACTTAGTGTTTAAACTGTAGGTTATAAACTGGGGCAAAAAAAGACTTTCAAATAGCCATAGCTATTTTAATGGTATTTTATTTTCTTTTAATTTTTTTCCCTTCAAACCGTCAATAATATAATTTGATTGTTCTAGAAACTTCCAGAATATTAGTATTAGTAGTCATATGTCAAATATCATTGAAGAGGTAAAAAAGCATAAATGGTAGTTATAAATCTCTTACCCTCTTTTTTAGTGACTTAAATTATGTTTCTCTTATTTTGACCTGATGTTTTCTTCTATAAAATTAATAGATAGGTTTTGAGGAATATGCACGTAAGATGGTTTGATACGAATACATTCGAAGAGGTACTCATCTTAATGTTTGTGTTCCTCAGGTTATTGGCATTGGAGCAGGACAGCAGTCTCGGATACACTGCACACGCCTTGCGGGGGATAAGGCCAACTATTGGTGGCTTAGACACCATCCACAAGTGCTTTCAATGAAGTTTAAAACAGGAGTGAAGAGAGCAGAAATCTCCAATGCCATCGACCAGTATGTGACTGGAACCATCGGCGAGGTAAAAGGCTTGTCCTTGGGTTATATGGATGTGCTGTGTAAATATTTGTTCACTCTTTTATGAGTAACAGACTTTTCATTTCATCACTATAGAGTGAAAAGGTATTTTTCTTGAAATTTTATATTGTCTAAAATCATTAATTTAATTGAAGCTTCTTATATGTTCTTTCTTCTGTCTCATTTAACTTCATTGTTTTTTATCCCTTTCTGAAAGCACAAAGCTTCTGTCTTTTTAAGTTAATGACAGGTCCTGCCTTTCCCCTGTCTTGAGGTGTCTATAATAATGTGGAGCATGATGCTTGCAGGTGACTGGTGTCTATCTTCCCCCACCACATTTTTTACAAGTGCCACTAGCAATCTGATATACTTTTGTTATATTTCATGTTCTTTGATGTCTTGTATTTGAAGGGGTGTGTGGGAGCATTAAAATTGCTTCCACAAGATGAGGACTAACTCACCCACACAAGCCCTTTTATAAGACACTAATCCACTCATGAGTGCCCTACCCTCATGAACCTAATAACCTCCTAAAGGCCCCACCCCCTAATACTTTTGCATTGAATATTAAATTTCAACATGAATTTTGGAGTGGACACAAATATTCAAATGATAGCAAATATAATTAATCATGTTTGATTTGTCTGCATCTCTTATATTTGAGACTAAGTGTTGTATAAATGTAGTTCTAGAATATTCATTATGCGTTTCCTTGATTGGATATGGAGGATTCTTTTGAAAAACCTTGGAAGGTGACTTTTCTATTTGTGTCCTTTGATATAGGGTTATAAAGTAATAGATTTAAATTAGATTTAAGAACAAAATACATTTGGAATAAAACAATTTAGAAAGTAAAGTGATAAACACTTCTATAAATATGATAAACTTAGCATCACTTTTGTTTCCTAATGAAAATGTTTTTAAAGGCATCAAGGAGAATCTAGAAATATGAACTTGCTTGTAAATAAGAGTCATTATTTAAAATTAAGTCCTAGGAAAAATGCCCAAGTGCTTTCTGGCTTGGTGGATCACATCAGATAGAAATAAAATGATGTCAGACTGACTTCTCCCCTCCCCTCCTCCCTCCTGTAGGATGAAGATTTGATAAAGTGGAAGGCACTGTTTGAGGAGGTCCCTGAGTTATTAACTGAGGCAGAGAAGAAGGAATGGGTTGACAAACTAAGTGAAGTTTGTATCAGCTCTGATGCCTTCTTTCCTTTTAGGGATAATGTGGACAGAGCTAAAAGGGTAAGTATGGAATTGGTGTGCATTTGTATAGAATTGAGCATTATGTAGAAACTATTTCAGAAACCCTGGAAAATTATTTGACTTCTCCGTTGCATGTATGGATGACACAGATCCTACTTTGCCTTTTTGACTGAGTGCATCATTGTTAGTTTAGGTTTCTTAGAGGGAGCTTTTAATTTTTGCAGGTTTTTACATACAGTTGTGTTTTGAAAATCAATGTCTGTCTGTCCCTCAGAGTGGTGTGGCGTACATTGCTGCCCCCTCCGGCTCTGCTGCTGACAAAGTCGTCATCGAGGCTTGCGATGAACTGGGAATAATCCTCGCTCCACCACCTCCGGCTCTTCCACCACTGATCTCATCGCACATTATTTTATGGTTTGCGTATGTGCAGGTGATTCATGTGTGGGATTTTGAAAATAACTTGTTTTTAAAAATAAAATATTAAATCTTAATAATTGGTCGTTGTGTTTTGTCGTAAAGATACAGGCTCTTTAGACCGACACAACACACACGTCAGTGTTGGTGTGTGAGGACTGCCCCAGCACCCCGACCTCCCGGAGCCCAGCTCACCCCACAGCACTGCCTGTGGGAAATAGGAATCTGCAAGTAACCCCAGAAACCAAGTGGCCAGAGCAGATGACACAAGTATCTTACAGCTCAAGTTTCCCTTCTCATTCTGTTCTTTAATCACACTTTAAAAAGTGTAGTTGTTTATCACTGTGAGCTGGTTGTCTGTCACCTGTGAGCTGGAACCTTAGAGAGGGGGTTACTGTGTCTTGTTGACCCCATCTATCTATCGACAACGTTAGTGCTTACTTTTCCTCTGTGTTAAGTGAAATGTGTCCCATAATTTCAGCAGCCCTAGATCTGCCCTCTAGAGCTACTAAAAAAATAGAATCAAGGTTTGATTCTATTTTTTTCAATGGCCCAGAAATGGACCACATGATTCCAACTATGGGCTTAGGGCAGTGCCTGCTCATGTCAGGCAGGACAGAGTGTGCATCTCTGGGTCCTGCTTGTGTGGTCCTGACTGTTTACACAGGCTACACCTGTGCTCAGCTAAACCCCTAGGCATGGTCCACCTCAATAGATGTCTTACCCTGTTCTGAAGTCTTTACTTTTGCAAAGTAGAAGTTCCTGAATTTTTTTTTTGTTTTTGAAGTCAACATTTTAAGTCATCATTCTATATTGGCTGATCTTCCAACCCTTGTAAAGATCCCTCCCACATTGAAACAAGTTTAATTTATGTGAGCAGTAAAATACTGCAGAAAAAATGCATGACTTCTGAGGTTAGGTCCTAAGAGTGTAACTTCAGCTTGCTTGCCTTAGGGTAAGCCAAGGCCATGTTGTAAGGAGGTTTAAGTGGCTCTCCCCAAGGAGAGAAGCCATCTTGCTCTTGCTAGCTGCCAGCCAGCTGAGTGAGCCATCTTGGAGGGGGAGCCCCCAGCTCCACTCTCAGGTGATCCCTGTCTTCAACCTGTTTTGAGACCTGAGCAAGAATTGCCCAAAAGTGCTTCTCACGAGTTCCTGAACCATAGACACAGAGAGATACATATGAGCCACAAAGTTTTGGGGTAATTTGTTATATAGCTGTAAACAGTTAATAAGGGTCTTAAGAGTATTTGTGTAACCATGATTAGGCAATGAAAAAAATATTCAAACCCAGGTGTGGTGGCTCATGTCTGTAATTCTAGTGACTCGGGAGGCTGAGGCAGGAGGATCACTTGATCCTAGGAGTTCAAGACAAGCCTGGGCAACATAGGGAGACTTTGTCTCTACAAATAAGAGGTTGCAGTGAGCTACAATCATGCACCACTGCACTCCTTAGTTTGTGACAGACTGGTCTATGCATGTTTTTGTTTTGTTTTTTTGAGACAGTCTTGCTCTGCATGGGCTAGAGTGCAGTAACGTCATTATAGCTCATTGTAACCTCAAACTCCTGGGCTCAAGCAATCTTCTTGCCTCAGTCTCCCAAGTAGCTAGGACTACAGGTGCATGCCACCATACCTAGCCAATTTTTCTATTATGTAAAGATGGTGTCTCACTCTTGCTCAGGCTGGTTTTGAACTCTTGGCCTCAGGCAATCCTCCCTCCTCAGCCTCCAGAAGTGCTAGGATTACAAGCATGAGCCACCACTCCCGGCTGGTGTCTTTACATCTCTATGTATTCCTGAAAATTAAAAATTTTTGCCTATCTACCCAAAAGTTATGAAGATTTTTTCTTATGTTTTCTTAGACATTTTGTAGTTTTCACTTTTACAGTTAGGTATATTCTCTTTCAATTTTACTGTGATGTATGGGTCAAGTTTTCCTTTTTTTTTTTTTTTTCATAATATTTTTTCAGTTGTTCCAGCATCATTTGTTGAAAAAACTTCTCCATTGCATTACCTTATTTCCTCAGTTGACCATATGATATGTGTGTGGGTCTATTTCTGGACTCTTCTGTTCCATTCCGAATGTTTGTCCTCATGGCAATACCACACCATCCTGATTACTTTAGCTTTATAGTGAATTCTATAGTGGAATAGTGTGAGTTCTTCAACTTCGTTTTTTAAAGATTGTTCTTGCTGTTCCAGGTCCTTGACATTTCCATGTATATTTTAGAATGAACTAGTCCATTTCTACTAAAAGGTCTAATTGAAATTTTGGTTGGAATTACATTAACTTGTGGAGAATTGACATGTTCTTTCCTTCCCCTTTGAGGGGTTGATCTTGTCTGATCTTATCCTTGAAATATAATATATAACCACATCTATTAGCTGAGAGGGCCTAGAAGCAATGATACCCTTAAAAATGAGTACACTTAGTTCAAGATCTTGGTTTTGAATTCTCCAATAAAAGGATTTAGGCATCTTTGGAGAAATATCTTATTCCAGGACTGGGGCAGGAAATAAGATGCCTGGAAGAATCTTAAAGTGCTAGAAAGTAAGAAAGTGCTCAAAACAAAACAAAAAAACAATTTACATGATAGGGATATGTCAAAGGATATAAGAGCCAACTAATAGCTCCCAATGGCCAAACCCAGGACAATTTGAGCAACAAAATAAAGTGTTGGATTATAACCCAAGTTATAAAATATCTTGAGTTCATGCTGATATAAATGTTATGAATAAATAAATGTGAAGTATACAAATATCCCATGCAGAAAGATTCTAAGTAACTTTCACAAATACTCCACCTTTAACTTGGGCATAACTCCCTACCCCTTAAGTGTGAGCTATGCTGAGTGACTTCCTTTCAAAGAGGAGTATAGTATGGAAAGGGAAATATATTTGTGTGCAATCCTGACAAACACTGTCTCAGCCAGGTGATCAGGGTCAACATCGATGTCATGTTGATAGTACGTACATCAGAATGCGAATGGCACTTTCCCTCTTTGGTCTTCTTTCCAAAAACCTATAATCATGAGAAAAACATCACCAAATCCTACCTGAAGGACCTTCTACAGAATAATCTAACTACTGTCAAGGTCATCAAGCAGAGAAGTGTGAGAAACTAATGAATCATGACGACTAAATGTGTGGTATCCTGGAGGGCATCCTGCAACAGAAAAAGGACATAAAGTAAAAACCGAGAAAACCTGAATAAAACATGTAGTTTAGTTAAACTAGTATGCATCAATATTGATTCACTAATTGTAACCATAAATGAACCATATTAATGTAAGATATTAATAAAAGAGGAATCTAGGTGTGAGATATACAGGAACTCTATGAGCCTCACAATTCTTTCTGCAAACCTAAAACTATTAGAAAAATAAGTCTATTTTAAAAGCTATATAGCAACAATTCTAGCATCACACTAAAAAGCTTAACAGTCGTTTTTAATGTCAAACATCCTGTCACCATTCAGATGTCACACATTAGCTCATTTTTTTTTTCCCAGTTTGTTGATTATAAGATCCAAGGCTGTTACAGCACATTATATTTGATTAGTATGTCTCAAGTTTCTTAATTGGTTTCTCTTTACATTTTTTTCTTGCAGTTGATTTATTAAAGATATTAGAATTTTGGTCCCATGGAGTTTTCGCACATTCTGTGTTTTGCTACTGCATTCCTGTGATGCAATTTAGTTTGTGCCTCTGCTTATAGATTGATAGCTGTAGTTCGATGGGGTTTTTTTTTAGTTTGATTAATCAATAATTTAGAAAAAAGTTATTGAAACCATTCTCTGTGAGGATGAGTTTTCCAGTTTCTTCCTGCAGGTTTATATTAGACTGGGATTAAATCTGTCTATTTTAAAAATCATTTATGGAGGGCATTAAATTGATATACGAAAATTTTAAAAAAACCTTTTTAAAGTGAAAGTGACTAGTTTTCCAAATTATACATTGTGTATATCCACACTGTAATTTCAAAATTATACAGTGTGATCAGGAATGAACATTTCTCACTAATGTGGATGTTATGCAAATACTGAACTATATTCCTAAGTGTACTGAGCCATGGATCATGGGGACTGAGCTAGGTTATTATAAAGGTCTCTATTAACCTTAGGGTCGAATGTTTTTTGTGCTTCAGCAGCATTGGGAGGCCTTTCTTCTCAAGGTCTTGAGCTGTCTCTTGACATTTGGCTAGATTTGGCCCACAAGTGGGGGCAATCGGGAGCAGTGGAGGTATTAATGTCATGTGACCTAAAGACTCAGGATTGCCAATATCCTGTAGTAAACAAAATCCATTGGGAGATTGTGGATACTGGTGGTCCTTCGGCTCACAATCTAATAAGTTCCAGTAAGTTCTTGTAGTGCAATGAATGCTTTGTTTCTTGAAATCCAGAAGGAGCCCTATGCAACAGTTGATCGTTTGGTCTTTTTATTCTTTGCATCTAATGAGCGACTTTGCAGTTTGCAGAGTTTGTGGAAAGGAGGTGCAATGGGGGCAGACAGCTGATAGACTGTTCAGTACGGAAACTGAGCCGTAAAACACACCTATGCATTAAAGTCCATTGGTGCTTAGTAATTCAACCATCTAGAAACCAGAGGAAGAGAGAATTTTTGTGTTAAGAAATTATTTTATTTTCTTAAGGATCCTTGGCAGATCCTATATTATATCAATTTCTGTGACTTAGTGTTAAACTGTAGGTTATAAATCTGGGGCAAAAAATAAAAACTTTAAAATAGCCATAGCATTTAGTTGTATTTTATTTTTAATTTTTCCCCTTCAACCTCAATAATATAATTTGATGTTCTATGAAACTTCCAGAAATTAAGTATTAGTAGTCATATGTCCAAATACCATGAGGAGGTAAAAAAGCATAAATGGTAGTTCATTAATCTCTTACTCTTTTTTAGTGATTACAATTATGTTTCTTATTTTACCTGATGTTTTCTTCTATAAAATTAATAGATAGGTTTTGCAGGAATTGCACGTAAGATGGTTGATACTAATACATTTCGAAGAGGTACTCTTAATTGTTTGTGTTCTCAAGGTTATTTCATTGGAGCAGGACAGCAG